TAACGGTATACTATAGCGGAGCATCAGTGGAGGATATGATAATAATTTAGTTAGGGCAGTAAGCACATCGTAAGGCATTCACCTTTATTTAACCTCGATAGTTTCCAGGGGTGACTGCGTATAGGTCAACCTGATAGGATACTTGCAATTTCCACTAGTCCCCAATACTAATAATCCCCTTCCCTCTTCCGAGCACTTACTGTATTAATAAGAAGCACAACATTTATATTTCTGGTTCCACATATTATTACATATTGGGTTCTACAAGTCTTTATTCTTGGAAGTCGGTTAAAACACCTTGACATAGTTTTGCCTTGACATAGACGCCAGTTAAAACAGACATTATGATATTATAGGTACCACAAGAGATGGTATCGGTGGTTAATCGTGCTGATATGCTAACGAAACCCCGACGAATCTGTTTGCTGTGCATATGTATTACTTACACCATTTATAGATAAAAACGGTAATTAGTAATTTCTTAGTCTATGTCAAATCGATGAGTCGCGATAATTCCAGATTATTCCAGACGAGTCAATAAAATGGTCAAAATTAAATATAATTTATAAATAATCACAACATCAAATTGTATTCCATGAATGAAATGTGTGTGACGAAAATAAACCTACTCATTCTGCACTTTCATCATACTATCTTAATTTACTTGACCTTGCCTGATATAAACATTAAATAGATTATAATCTAAAGCATTGTTGACGTTAGCGGCATTTATAAATTATTAATTAATTGCGTGTTTAACATAAAGTTAGAGTTAATTTAATATGTCGGAAATGCCAGGTATTTTTGCATTGACCTAGTAAATCTGCTGTCATGATTTATTTCGGTAATTACGTGGGTCTGTCAGGTCCTTTTGAGAATCGAACAATTTCGAGGTTAAATTAAAAATGTTAAGAATATCGATACTAGTCCCAACATCAAAAGCATTAACCGTTCTGTTTTTCTACAAATTTAACAACCTCATTAATCTAACTGTACACACTGTTTTACTTTCTGATAATCATCAGGGTTTCATCCACGCATTATTAATATTAAGTTTGGAATGAGATATATTAAGTAAGGCAGAACATTCGTATCGAACTTCAACCGCATTCAATGCTTACTAGTTCTAAAATTACGGACCTCATTATAAATAGGTTTCTATGTATTTGTAGTCCTTGTATTACACACCTACCTAATACTAGTTTATATGCCTTTCCTCTTACAAATGATGTGTAAGGAACCTTTCGTGGGTGTATTGCACTAAAAGCTTTTTCCGCTTGACCGCTTCCATTTATACGGCCTCCTTATAGCTATCGTATGGTCATTCAATGTTAGTTTAAAACAAATAGGTCACAAACATGTATTTTGCTTGAATTTGAATTTTATAATGAAAGAGCGCTTAATATGCTTTAAAATTGAATATGACTCTTATGAGTATAATAATAACGTCAAATCTTATAAATTATAATTCTACAATATTCTATAGCATTCTTTTGAAAAGAGCAAAGGCAAGAGGCAAATATTTTACCATTATTTTACGAGTATGTATGCATTTACAATTGCATTAAAATCCATGTCTTTGAAGATTATTCTTTTGGATGTAAGAATAAATATATAGTTATTTACCAAAATATTACGATGTGCGATCATCACTGTATTTTGCAATAATCGACTGGCGCTTCGTGAATAATATAGGTAGCCTTTGGTGGCTATAAATAAACATTCCAGTTTTATGGCAAAGAGAAATGGCATGTCGCCATGATGTCTGCGGCAAGCAATCTTGATCGCAATAAATACGTGTTTTCCTTATAATATTGATATTCATTAAATATGTGAAAATATAAAAATGGGAAATAATAATTTGTGACAAACAGTAGCTGGTAGTATAATTGTTCAATATAATTACCTCAAAAGAATATAATATCATTTATATTTATTTATTTTCAGAAACATTAATTCTTAATATTTCTGGAAATAAATAAATAATAAGCCTTCATTAGCAACACATGTTTTGCCAAAATTTATATATGCATGTTTCTTAATAAATTAATAAGTTCTTGACCTTATTGGGAATTATAATTTATAGAAAAATCATACATTTGTATAAACTTGTCATCATTACTAGTCATATCCTTTTAACTAGGTAATTATGTTTTTAATGAATAGGCGAATAGTCATAAAATATCTTCGGTATCAATATTTTTAATTACCATAGTATATATACTAAGTATTATATATGCTCTACATATCAGCTAGGCTATTTAACGAGGTAATCCTGCCAATATTTTTATAACACTTCCACGGACGAAACTATTTACAACAATTATGTGTAATTTGAGATTTTTAACGATTTTATATAATAATTTGTAGAAAATATTAATGCGAAGATAATATAAAATAGTATATTTAAATAATATAATAACAATAAATATGTTTATTACTGCATCAGTAGCCGCTTTGGTAGTAACTTTTTTATAATCTAATGTTGGTATGTAACAACCATAGTAGAACAATAACTGTAAGTACTTAATCCTCTGCCTAACAATAACACCAACAACTTGTTTAATTTCAAATCAAAATCATTTGTTTATGTAGAACATTTTAGCAGCTTATGTAAACGTATGTTTTTTTGTATTAATATTTTTTCCTTACCGTCAAGTTCAGTATACAGATACAACTGAGAAGAACTTGCAAAAACTGAATTTCTTTTGATTTTAAAAACCAGTTTATTTTCTTTGTGTACTAATGTAGGTGTCTATGTCTAAATTAAATGAAATTGCCCTGCACGTTTGTCATTCATTTAATCGTTTAATAAGCTTTGCCGCCGCTGCCGCATCAACATTCTGAAACCAGTAATATATTTACAATAAAAGCAGGTCGTTGTTTGAAGAGAATCCACTATTAAAAATATTGTATTGAATTAAAAAACGAGCCCCGTCAGGCGATTTAAATTTAAAAATAATGTAATCTCTTTTATTCTTATTTCACAACTAAGTAAGTATTAATTCAAACCGTGACCTAACATGTAGTTCTAATTTTTGGGTCAACGAACTTATCAATACGTCGTGACCTAATGTAATTGGTTATCAAATGATTCAAGTGACAATGCAATCATGAACTGCCGCTGATAGGTATACAAATAATTTTGCAGCAACTACCAATCATTTGTTCCGATCGATCCGAAAAGTTATCTGTTAAAAAGATAATAGATTAAAATTATAATTTTTGGTTGGATCTAGATGCAACTATGTTTATTATTTATTTCTATATAGCACTCGGGTTACAGAGCTCATTCAGTATTCTCTTTTCTATCGTTCATGTTTAGAGAAGAATATAAAGGCTTTGCTTTTTGAAGGGTTGATTTCTAATTTACCTTATTTACTGTCATAAGTTAATTTAGAAAGCAACATTAAACATTGACAGTAAAAATATAAAATTATATCTTATTAATAATTTGTATGAAAATGAAACTTCTTTAAAAATTTTCATATCAATATAAAAATTATACTACATCTCTTTACAAAAACTTACTTATTACCTGTCTGTACTTACAAATTAATTAGACGATTTGTCAGACACCAGTGGCATCGTATAGGAAGGGCCAGATTAGGCAGTGAAATTTAAAGAGGGAAGCATGACATCGTAGTCCTCTGGAATGGCAATGCATCAATAGTATCACGGGAGTCATGGGATCATGTGATGTCCGTAAAGCTATTCATGTATGTAGACAGCGATTACAGCGGACCAACAGGTATGCTGTCTGCTTTTTTTCCATTCTAATTACATGAAAAAATCTTAAAACTCTAACACAGAAGTAGACATTTCAAATACTATGCTTTACTAACACTTGTTTTTTAAGTTACTTGCTTTGCAACACATGACACGTGATTCAAACAACTTTAAATAAGTATACAAGTCAGATGTCAATACAGATGAATCAAAGACTCGTGCCTTTTGTAACAGTGATAAATAGAGCACGTGTGGTGTGTCCAAACTGGTTTTATAATACACGTATCTCACAGTTAGTGAATAAAATGTGTTACTTGACATTCCTTATCACTAATGAGAAGGTTGTGTAACGGTTTGCAATCCTCGTGAACTTTTGTAGACTATTAAAAAACGTAAAATGGCGTAATTGGGACATAACCAGCATGAGAAATATGCTATTCCACTGTTAATTTGGATGTGAAAAGTCCAAGGAAAAATAATGTCAAGGATACCTATGCAGGATTATATTTCTAAGTATTGGGGTGGACAACAAATTTGCTTTACCAAGTAAAAGTAGGGCGTAATGTTAGAACTCATTTATCTCCGAGTTAATGCGTCTATATTCTGAGACCACAAGAATCCTCAATTTTGAACAAATTAGTCGTTTTCGTACTTCATACAATAAAATGAATGATGAATGATGTATTTCTTTTATATAATCGGAATGACAAAGAAACTGACAGACAAGTTGCTGGTAATTAGCAACCATCACTTATACACATGTGTATACACAGCACCTCAAATCACGTCATCGTGTTATACTTTAGAAAAGGACTTACGATTACATTCAAGGTCAATTCAGAGCAAGCTATTGATTTTATAACAAAATCGAGACAACATTGTCACAAAGATCCTATTTACAAATGACGCGAACACTGAAATCTCGTCAGAATTTTATACATGTAAATAAACCGGAAACAAACACTTCCGTTATAAAAAACTAAGTACCCACATATTTACACTACAATTTGGCCTCATATCGAGAGTTTAATGGTTGTATTTAATGGTTTCCCATTCTTGATTACACTTCGCACGATATTAAAATATAAAATTTAAAACAGGGTTGAGCAACCTTTGTTATAAATTTGTTAAATAATTCCTGAGCCTTGGCAATGACGAGGCCGATTACCGATATTTGCATGTAATATACTCACAGTTTGTATGTATATATAAGCTGTTATATTTGTTAAGGAAATCATTCTACTCGTAGAAACAAACCTCAAACCCACAAAATGATCGCAAAGGTAAAAAAAATATATATTATTTTATAGATAATATTAAATTAAATTCAATATTTTAATGAAGTAATAATTAAATTTCTAATTTATTAAATAATTCTGGACCTTTTTAATATTTGTAATAATTTAATATTTTTAAAACTTCTACTTTACAGTAAATCAAAATTTTTGAAAAAGGCACTATAAAAATTTGTTTTTTTTTTCCATCTGAATTTTTCATCTATATTTTTTGTAAAGTACTAAGAGTACCATAAGCAGTTATTTGTATCAATTATATATATTTTATGAACGGGATATTTACCATGATAATATTGTTTATGAGCTGCCGATAATTCAAATTTACATTTGTATTGATTTCATTTTAATTATTTTCAGATTGCTTCAGTCCTGTGCTTCCTCGGCCTAGCCCATGCTGGCCTTATCGGCTCCGGCCTTGGATACAGCGGTCTGGCACCAATCGGCTACAGCAGTCTAGGTGGTATCAGCCCTATTGCCCGCTATGGTGGAATCGCCCCGGTAGTCAGCGCCCCCCTCGCAATTGCCCCTGCCCCCGCCATCTCCACAGTATCCCAGTACTCTGTTAACGCTGCACCCTTAGTGAGGACCATTGCCGCTCCAGTTGTTGCTGCTCCTCTTGTAACCAAGAGCATCGCGGCTCCAATTGCCGTCTCGCCTTATGGAATCGGAGCAATTGGCGGTTATGGACTCGGTGGCTGGTGAACGATGCTGATTATCTAAATTATAGTAAATAATTATTTTAAATTAAAATATATATATGTTTATATCATGCCATTGACATTCCCGTCTAATAAATATGTTTATATAATTTATACTTTGATTTTTATTTTCTCACAACTGAATGTGGTTTGTTTTGTTATTATTATCCAATAAACCCTTTCTATAAATTTTATTTAATAAGAACAAGTAATCTAATGTCTTGTTTTACTTTTTTGTGCTAACATGATTAGTGTATGTATTTTGCAGATTATTAGTAGATGCATTAGTGGGTATAAAAGACAATCTGTTTGATAATCGCTTAAATGCCAAAAATTAAATTGTTGATTTATTAGTTTGTTTTCTGAACAAAGAATCTCTGTTCCTATAGATTCCTTTAGTAAAGAGGGACTTGTAAAACAAAATTCATCTATTTATTGATTCGATAATAACAGTTATGTTTACATTATTATATCTTTATTATGATACCTTATATATCACTTAAATTCATCTGCTGAAGCTGAAAAAGCCCACTAAAGACTAACCAAATAACTTAAGATTTTATTCCTCAAAAATAAACTTTTAATGTGTCAAAACTAATAGCACACTTTAGAGATAACAAACTATAAAATCGTCAAATTCAACGAATAAACTACATAGTAGAAATATCATGTAACATTTAGATAAATTATTTGTTCTTTGAAGCACAATTAATTTAATGTTGGTTCATTAAACATTCAAATATAATTTGGTGTTCATTCCCTTATATTTTTTAATGTTTTTGTAAATGAGTGTTAATTCCAAATATAATTTGGAAAGAACATTCATTTACGAATACTACTGCAAAGAAATAGATTCGATTATTTTCTTACGAACGGATCAATTTTTACCATTTGATTGCATTTTTAGCAATTGCTATGAAAAAAATAATGATTATAGTTTTAGAATTACTAAGATGCTACCGATAATGCATTATATTATTATTACATTTATGTATGTGAACATATATAATTATTTAGTGCGTGTGTTTGTCACCTAACACCTCCTTAATAGCTGGACCGATTTGGATGAAATTTTGTCAATATATTTCAATTGCTTCCTGGATGATTTTGAAAACACAATAGGCTACTAGAAATAGAAAATACTTGGTACCTAACTATATAGTGTTTATGTGACAATTTTTTAAGCAATTAAAATATCAAACAAGCCTACAAATTGCTGAGTGCTAACAGTCGCCTATACCTACATACATATATATATATATATATTTACATTAACAACACTCTGACGTTCTCATTTTTCTTTCCATATTTTTTGCACGAAAGTGAATACCTATATGTCATACACAACTATTGACATTTTAAAATCATTCTATATTGATCGCGATATAATATCGTGAATTAAAACATACATTTCTATTGAAGATACTCCTCTGTTTAACATTTTCAGTAGTAATGAATTATTCATAATTAATTATTCTTTGCCATCTGCTACATAAATGAATCTATTGCGAATCTTTGAATGGCTGGGTATAATAAAATTAAATTAAATCTTAAAATATCATCACGTATTAATAAAATCTCTAATCTATACATCTATACATATAAATAAAATTGGAATGTCTGTTGTAATATTGAAATAACCGTTTTTTACTACATGCATAAAAATATAAATACGGCACATACACCAAAATGTCATTTCTTAATTTTTGTCTATCTGTTTGTTCCGGCTAACCTCTGAAATGGCTGGACCGATTTTGTCGGGACTTTTTTTGTCAGGTAGCTGATGTAATAAGGGGTAACTTAAGCTACTTTCGTTTTAGAAAAAAAAATTAGAATATTAAAGTTAAATTCCACGCGAACAAAGTTGTGGGTACAGCTAGTTTAAAATAATCATTTTGCGATCAAACAATATGCCATTTTTTTACACTTATTTCTATGATAATAATGTAGATATATAGTGATATATCTACATTATTATCATAGAAATAAGCAATTCAATCATTTCACTAGATGTCACGATATTTTATGTATTGTTTAAACGAATACTTATGCATAAATTTGGTACATAAACAAATTATTACTATAACATACGAGTAGTTACGTTATTCTATTTAATTTGTGAATTTACCGCGATTCTATTTTAAGCATATAATAATTATTATCAAAATTTATTGCCAAGGTTACAATGTGAATAATACGTTAAAATGCGAAAATTTTTAAATAATAAAACAATTATTGCGTAGTGTCATAATGTTTGCAAAAGTTTTATAACAATGCGTAGATCCTTGACAATAACGAGCTCTATTTCCTAAATAACCATTTGTAAAGGTATATATATAAACAATTAAATTAGAAAAATACATAATAACATTATTAGAAATTCAGCAGTTAACACCTACAAAATGATTGCTAAGGTAAAAAAATCTAAAAATGTATAAATATAACAATAGATTTATTAGTATTATAAATATATATTATATAATTAATCAGGAGTGACTTTTTTGTTACTTCAATAACAACTTCCGATGGAGGACAATGACATTTACTACAATTGATTTATTTCAATCAAGTTCTTAAACAAAGTCAGAACTAATAATAATATATATTTTGTTTCGCAGATTCTTTCCGTCCTCTTATTGGTGGGTTTGGCCCATGGAAACATTGGTTACGGCGGTATTGGATACGGATCTCTGGGATATGGTCTAGGGTATAGAGGTCTCGGCTATGGCGGTATTAGAGGTTATGGCGGTTATGGCGATTATGGCGGTTATAGCGGTTATGGCATTGCCCCAGTTGCAGCAGCTCCTATAGTCGCTGCCCCCGTCGCAGCTACTTCTGTAATCGCTCCTCCCGTGGTCGCGAATCCACTTGCAACGAAGACCCTCGGTTCTTCTTTAGCTCTATCCTCATATGGTTACAATCCAATTGGATATGCTGGATATGGCAATTATGGATATGGCAGATTAGCTTGGTAAATTTCAAAATTAAAAGAATTGTCCATTTTATATATAGATTTACCTAATAAAATTTGATTTTAAAATATTTGTTGTTTTTTTTTATTCTGATTAGATAATTTACAGAACTCTTATAAGCAATTTCATACTCTGTGTGGTCTTGCAGTTCTGCACGCCACCTTATTTCTAACGGCAGTGGGTTCGAGTCCTTACACAATATAAACAGTTGTATGATTATTTGTATCTGTATATTACATTCGATTGATGTCTAAATGTTTTCTGTGTACTATTTAAAAAAATATATTTAGTTATTTCTATCAGTTATTTAGCACAAGCTCTGTGTACTAAATAACTGACAGAAATGCTTAAGTGTTAGCTAAGTGTTTATTATTATTATAATTGTACCCTCAGTAATCGTAGAGGTATTATTAAATTACTTAATGGATTTATATTATTTGGTATAATTTCATTACCATTAGTATGTACAACAAATATTCGATGCGGAAACCTGTCCACCACTACTGGAAGCGTTATGATCACTATAGCGTTATATCACTATTAGTGATCGAATTCCAACCGTTATTGGATCTATACCCATATTGCTACTGTTTCGCTTCTCAACGTGCCATCATCAGGCAAGGATGGTTTATATATATAATAGTTTAGAAGCCTAGTGTTGACTGTTCGACGACCGGACTAGGGAACATATTATGTCTCTTCGCCAAACAATCTGATTTTCACCAATCTGGTTACCGAATCTGTACTACTCACACATATAAATGCCTTAAGTAATGAGATCGACTCGACATTATAATAACTGATTAAAATCACTTTACATTTTATTTGATTATTGATTATAATATAACGACCCGAAAGGAAGCGGTAGGCAATTGTATGCTTCCATTTTAGTGAAGAATTAAGGTACTTTACACAAATATATATATATATATATATAATACACAAAAAACAACCATATCTATAATATTTTAGTTTGAGTATATCGGGTGGCCAGAATATCCCTCGAATGCTGACGCCCTGAAAACGCACATGTGTTGACGGGTTCTTTTTGTTACCAATATGGAACACTTGTACTAAATACATTCATATTTATTTTACGTATCTATGAGTTTTTATTTAATTTTCATAGACTTTAATCTGCAGAAATTGTACGTAAAATACTTCATTCTATTTTAGATGCAACTCTGATTGTCTATGATGCGATGAAAATATTTATTATTTTCCCATTTAGAGTTTCTCACTTAAATAGTTTTGATATTCAAACAATACAAATGTAGTTTATATTCAAACAGTACATGTGCACAAAGTGCTAGATATAGTTTCTCCCGAGTACTAAATACTCAACACACTCCATACAATACATTAATTTAATGTACTTATTTTTGTTTTTAGTACGTGATTGCTATATATGATTTGAAAATTTTAATTTTAATAAATTAACAAACATATTTTTTTTCTAAATCATTCTTCTATAATTAATAAAACATATTTTTTTTTCTCTTACTGAAATGGCATATAAGCTGATGGCTCATTTCATGGTAAGCAGTAACTACATATATAAACAGCACTACGGATAATACGTTATCATGTAAAACCCTTAATATCACTCATGCATTGCCATTCCAGAGGACTAAAATACCATGCATCTTATTCTGTTATTTTACTGCTTAATACACACCCTACAACTGGAGGCATCGGGGTTATTAGTAATTGGGTGTAGGTCGACCTGTAATCGACCTTGGAAACCAAGGAGTTCATCAGTATGGTCTAACTATCCTGACCTCATTATTGTCCTCCGCTAGTGCCCCGCAAGCGTATAGGTACCGTTAGCGTAGGTAGGCTAACAATTCCATTGTCATCCATTAAAAAAAATACAACTCACAACAGAAAAATAACAAGTAGTTTCTAAAAAGTGGATAAAAAGAATAATTAATAACGTTTTGGTCAGACTGCAACTACTGCGATGGTGACCAGAGGTAGATGGTAAAAGTCATCTGCGTACTGAAGTAGATGAAACTGAAGTACCCACCTCAGTTTCATCTACTTCAGCCACCATGCAACTTGCTTTATAAACTGTGCTTTGTTTTTAGGGTGCAATATTAGGTAGGAATACAATTTTTAGAAAAGTTTACGATTAACAAGGACGAATAACTAATTACTGCAATATTCCGTTATGTATTTTCATAAAATTTCATAAATATTGAAAACCTGGGCCTCTAGCTATTATAAGTACTTTTTTATTAATGAGTTATAATTGAACCTTGACAATAAGTCCTGTTTCCTGAATTAGACAATGCACACATATATATATATATATATATATATAAACACCTCTTTGGGCACTTTGTTGATCACGCCACAAGCGAAACACTTGCTGATTCCACCTTTTGCACTGAATAACTTCACACCTATCGCGTATATCTCAGGCGGTATGGCAACGTCGCATTCCATTTTGTGATGTGGCCATATATATTCGTCGATAGTACGATATACTCGACACTTTTTTTACTAATAATTCGTGACTGAATGGCTCCGAACGGCTAAATTTTTGGTATACACAAAGACTTTTTGGCTCTGAATATATTCCAAAAATCAATTAATTATGTTGATCACTTTATATACTCGTCCTTACTGCGATACTTATTTTCATCCGAATATATATAGATACCGTAACGGTCTATCAATTATGAATTTATTAATTTACTAATGTAGATATTTTATATTCGCAATGCTCCATACATGCAAGCTCCAGCAACGGTGGAGGCAGGGTCCCCCCTGCACCGTACACCGCACCTCGCGCACACAAACAAATTAGATATTTTTTGAATACACACAGACTTTTTGGCTCTGTATATATATTTCAAAAATCAATTAATTGTGTTGATCACTTTATATACTGGTCCTTACTGCGATACTTATTTTAATCCGAATATATATAGATACCGTAACGGTCTATCAATTATGAATTTACTAATCTAGATATTTTATATTCGCAATGCTCCATACATGCAAGCTCCAGCAACGGTGGAGGCAGGGGGAGCACCGTACACCGCACCCCGCGCACACAAACAAATTAGAATAAATTAAATTCATAAGATTATTTATATATTTCGACTGCCTCGGTGGTCACACCGCTTTACATCCGATGGTCACGGGTTCGATTTCTCGCACGGTGCAAACATTTGTACTCATCGGTCATCGATTGTTTTCATCGGTCTGGGTGTTTTATATGTATTTACAAAATAAAAATATCTATTTATATCAGTTCAGTATCAGTCTGTGTTAATTGTCCAGGGCTATTTATTATATTTTTATAAACGGTTATCTTTTTCCATCGCACCGCTCGCTATCGACAGTGAATTCATAGAAATGTCACTCTAAAAACAAAAATAGTTTTGTGTTTTGTATTTCAAATACTAAATGCAAAATAGGTATTTTCAAAATACTTTTTCAAAATAAAGTACCTTTTGAATTTTTGTCCAAACCTCAGATATTTTATTTATTTTAGGTATATCAATCATTACATAGTGTAGTATAAAACAAAGTCGATGTCGCATCTAACAGTACATAAATAAAGAAAGAAGACTTTTTGGCTCTGATACCGTAACGGACTATCAATTATGAATTTATTATACCTAATCTAGATATTTTATATTCGCAATGCTACATACATTATAATATCCGCCTCCATTCATTGTAACGGTGGAGGTACTAAATAGTTGAATAAAACTGAATAAGCAGTTGCTCCACTCTATAGGTATGCGTCGTCGTCGTATGCTGTTCATTTTTTCACTCGTTTTGGCGCCAAGAGAGGGTCACATAGTCGTGGTCAAGTTAAGAACTTATAATTTAATTTTGATGACAATAGATACAAGTAAAAAGTAGGTATTATATTAATGTACGTAAGTACTGTACTTAAAAATATTTATTCTTTATTGTACATTTGAAAAACTTAACACTTAAGGACTTGTACATATACACGTACATACTGCCATTTTCTCTTAAAGACATCCAGAGAAGCACTATTTATCAAATACGCGGGGTGCACCGACCTTTGACCTTATAACACCTGATTCGCGCGTAACGAATTACATTGCTACTTACATTACTATTTTATAGTGGATATTTCACTATAAAATATTATTATTTCTTTAGATTATGACATAATAGCATAGTTTACATGATTTTAAGAGAAACATACGATAAAAAAAATTCCCGTAAAATGTAAAAGATAAAAAATGGTTATTGTTGGTTATCCTTGAGAGATAGACATATACCATCACGGACTTTTTTGTTGACCTTATTTTGATACATCTCAAAGCACTAGACAATACGCATTTTCATTAAACAGTATTGTATTTTTTTTATTTATTTAACTTTAATGCACAAAAAAATTTGTACATGTGGCGGACTTAATATCTTGCCGCGTTATTTACCAGGCAACCATGAGTGGTGCAGCGAAAGATTATTGGCGGTGCACTAATATAAATGAGAAATGTCAAAAAAAGATATATAAATACAAAGCAAAATATACATTTCTATAAAAAAATAACAATATACATACATAAATATATAACCCATAAATATATAAATAAACACATAATGATCCGATAATAAAATTATAAGTACAGTCTCAAATTGAAAGTAAGAAAAACAGAAAATATAGAGAGAACTATAGGGATATAACAGAAAGATGTGAAAAAAGGAGAAGGACAGTAAAAAAGTTACAAATTTAAATAATGTTCCCGCAATTTCTGTTTAAATGAATTTATTACATTATTATATATATTAGGCATACGACTAGCCTTATGACTGTTACTTTTTTTTTTTAATCTATACATCTATACATGTAAATATAATTGGAGTGTCTGTTTGTAATATTGAAATAACCGTTTTTTACTACTTGCATATGAATATAAATACGGTACATACACCAAAATAACATATTTTACAAGTTTTGTCTGTCTGTCTGTCTGTTTGTTCCGGCTAATCTCTGAAATAGC